TTAATAAAAAAGCTTAGAGAATTTGTTCATCATCTATGACAAACTGTTATGAAGCATAGGGACCAAGTATTAACATAAGAACATAAGAATGGAGGAAACTGCAGCGGGCCTATTGGCCCATACTGGGCACTCCCGTTTACACCCAACCCCCATTGCTCATATATCTATCCAATCTATGTTTGAAGGTATCCAGCGTATTCGAGTTAATGATGATATCTGGTAACTTGTTTCACTCGTCCACTACTCTATTTCCAAACCAATGTCCCCTTTGTTTAACCATAGTATATAAAATGAGAATACAAATATTTTATTTCCAGTCGGTTGTTCTGGCGTGTGCCGGAGTTGCTCTTGCTTCACGCCCTACTCCCTATGGCCATCAACCTCCTACATATGGCCACCAGCCATCCTACTGTGACCCCAAAACTCCTCCTACCTGTGCCGCCGGATCCCCTCTAACTTACTGCTTGGAAGACCCCGAATATCCCGAGTATGAGATCAAGGGCGCCATCAGTGCTGACCATATCTTCGCCAAGAAGTACGCTGATGTGGCCGACCAGTCAGCTGATGACCTGGTCGATTATGTGACCAAGCAACAGGAAGAGGCCTTCGACTACTATTTCTACACTGGAGCTTCCACTGGGAAATCTCCTTACGATGCCACCCACTGGGGCGGTCCCGAGGGCTACATCTGCCCTTCTGACGTCGCCTACGCCAGGCCCAAACGTGCCCAGAATGTAGAGGGCAAGTGGCGTGTCATTGTCAATGACGTTCACTACTATACCCAGACCGCCCGCCTGGAGACTTGTCTCTTCCCTGAAGCTGCTTGCCGCGCCCTTGCTCCCTGCTTCAAGAGTCACTGCACCCAGAAGTACGTCTACCACCGCCTCCTGTCCTTCGACCCCTGTGATCCCTACAAGGGTCTCTTCATCGACATCTACAAGATGCCATCTGCCTGCTCTTGCCACATCCCCGCCTAAGACTCTCCAACAATGAACAGTCTTACCAGAGCCTTCAGGATAGTCCTGAGACTCTGTGCCCATGCCAGAACCACCGACACCCTGTAAACCCCGCCCCTGCCGCGGAGGAGAAGCCCCGAGATGACTGGAGAACTGCTTTCTTCACGTAACATCAATAATAATGCCAGGGACTCCCGGGACGCTCCTCGCCGCTCCTCTTACTCCTCCTTTTTCCTCTTCTTCCTCTTATTAACAACCATGTGAGTGCCAGATGCGAGAAGTTACTGTACTATTTATATTTTATTAAATCATAAAAATTCCGTTTGTAGTTTTGCTTAAAATATTTACACCTTGGCAACATTTTACATGTAACACGTTCTTCTATACCAAGAGTTCCTCGCCTGTAGTAAATTACACTAAGTAATTTGGACTTTTTCGTGGAGTAATGGATGGTAGACTACATGTAAATATGGAAAGGAGATTATTTTCTTACACATGGTATAATAAGCATTATTATGATTATAGTCATAAATTAAATATATTACGGGTATCATTTTAAGATGAGATGGCATCAGTGTGCTGTAAGTTGCTTTTAGTTGTGTAGCGGGAATGTAACACAGCTAGCCAGGCCAGCATGAGTGACTGCTTCGACATATTCAGTGGACTGATACAACAGGAAGGTCCAATAGGTGGCTGAAGGTGCCTGACTTAACCAAACTCAAATATACTAAAATGAATAAAATCAGATCTAATTGTTCACAAGCAAAGAACTGAATCTACTGACTCTTAAGTTTCATCGAACTGAACGTATTCGAACTTAATGTGACATTGACCTGACCACTATGCTGACCTAACAGGTCACTGACCCAGATCAGGGCCTGGGGGCGAAAATGTAATAATAATAATAATAATAATAATAATAATAATAATAATAATAATAATAATAATAATAATAATAATAATAATAATAATAATAATAATAATAATAATAATAATAATAATAATAATAATAATAATAATAATAATAATAATATCAATAATATCAATAATAATAATAATAATAGAAATACAAAAATGAAAAAAGTCACAAGTAAGAAAAAATATATGTATGTATGTATGTATGTATGTATGTTGTGTTGTCAAGAGTACAAGAAACAATTGAGACCCTGCAATTGTGTGTAAATGAGGCAGAAAGTCAGATCAGCAACCTAGGACTTGGTCACAATTTTCGTGATGTCATATGGCAGCAGGGTCTACCATTAGACAACACATTATGCTTCCAATATCTTCCCAGGTGGTAGTACCTCCCTGTTTGGTAGCTGCCTACTACCTACTACCGCTGACTTCACCTGAACTAACCTAATCAAAATATTGGCATTCCTCTGATTACGCAACACCCAACTTACCTAAATTCGATACTACGTATAAATAAGTTTCGATGAAAATATTAAAAATATCTGAAATGCACAGATTTTCCCTATGTAGCATTACGTACAGGCAAATTCGGGTGCTACTCGTGGCATACCTACGGAGGAGTTTGCTGTCCTTTCCTCCTCGTCCTTGGCTCGTCCTCCTCTTTTTCTCTCACATCCGAGATGTACGGTAGTAACATCGCCATCACACCACTGTCGTCCCTTTAAATTAGCAAGTCAACACTAGGAATTAAGGTAATGTGTTAGTACGTTAAATATTCAAATAAATTTCGGTTTTCTATTAATACAGTAAGATAGTTTATTTTATTTCAGTTCAACACATACACAATGATAATGTACTGTAGTGTAGTTATTTAGGATAAGTATGGTGTATATTACATTTAGTAGGTAAGTTACCCACTTAAGATTACTTTGGGAAATTCAACTTGTAAAATTCATGTTAGGTAATGGCTCCAGGAACCTAACTCTATGTAAGTCGAGGAATGGCTGAATATCAATAAAACATTAGTTCCAACGATAGTTATGATGGTTGTTGTCAAAAGTGTGCAGTTTCTTGGCCTTTGACTACGCCTAATTTAACTTATGCGACTATTACTGCTACCACAAAAACTACTACCATCTCCAATTTTCCCACAGCTTATTATAATGAACAACACACACACACACTTGCGCCACCACCACTACTATCGCTGTCACAAATAACCACTGCCACTACTTCCACTATCACAGTTAATCACTATAGCTAAAAACTACTAAACCACACAGTCTAATACCATACCTATTACAACCACTACTACCATTACCACTATTATTAACCCCCCTCCCACACACACACGCAGACATACTTCCATTGCTTTCACCAGTGCCAATACAACCACTACCGTAACAGTCAGAACTAGTGTTACCAAATATAACACTACCAACACTACCACAACTACCACCACCACACGTACTAACTCTTTCGCCACTGCCGCTACCACAACAACCACTACTATTTCTATTAATATTAACAATACCACCATTACCCTAACCAACACCAATAACAATATCACTTTAACCACTATTATTAACACGTCTACATACTACCACTACTACCACTTACATATTCTCTCCCACCACCTCTACCACCGTCACTACTACCATTACCACCACCACCACCACCATTACTCTACGACTACTACAAGCACACCCTCACATCACCATTTTGTATTCATCTTCATTTGTTTAGCCAGTAGAGCTTCTATCAGTATGTTGGTCATTGTTTCTCGGTGTTGGAGGTCAGACTCAATCAGGTACTTATAGTCAACACCCGCACGAGCTCTCACAAGGCTCACCCAAGGCCAATATCGCTGCATCTGTACAATCAATATATGTAATTTTCTGCTTAAATAATTTGTTTCAGTTTCAATCATAAAATGAGAAGGTGTTGTTTCCTCTGTACTATTAATATAAGTGTGTTGTAGATCCTATGTAACCTAACCTAACATAACCTAACCTAACTTAACCTAACTTGCATGACGTCTACGGCTAAAAATGAATTAAATAACCCAAACAAGTTAAACACCTATCTTACATGACAATACCATATTATCCTTTATAATCATATTAATTGGGACAATTGTGTCCTGAAACCATACACATCATAGTGACGTTTAAGTTATATTACGAATTCCGTCTTGGGGATATTTATAAATATAATAATAATAATCGTTACCCCTGATGTAACGAGGATGGCCGGCCCAGGGGCCACCAAGAGGTGAATTTGTTTAAGGTATAGAAGCTGTCGCCAACACAACAACCACACCCTAAGTTAATGGTGTCAAGCAGTAGTCCGAGAGACCGGACAACTCGCCAACTGCACTGGCTAACCATTAGCCCAGAAATACGATCAGCAAATCGATTAACATCCAGGTTCCCAATTACTGCTGGGTAGACAGAGGCAAATTGCTTATAGAAACTTGCTCATAGCTTCACCCTTCCCGGGGATAGAACCCGGGTCCTGTCGCTTGCGAGGCGAGCATACTCACCATTACATCACAGGTCGCCATTTGGGGATATTTACACATGCTAACACAAACAAAAATTATGCAAACAGATACTAGTAAAATCAGAGTTATACACAAACAATTACACAAACATCCATACACACATACATAAACACAGCCAAACATATAAACACACAAATAAGACAATTAATATTTCACACAATTACAAAAAAAAATCAAGACGAGTCTTATGTCACTACACATTTTCTCATTCATTAACGTGTCTTGAGTGTGTCTTTCTCAGGTCGTTGCACTCACCACATCCTCCTCTCAGATGTTGCAATGTGAAGAGACTGTAACCACACATGAAACTAATAATTGGGTTTGATATATTATTTTCAGTCCGATGTTTTAGTATCTGGAGACATTGCAGTTACTTACTGAAATATATCAACACGAGACACACAAAATGAGCGTGTGAATAATTTCCTCGGTCCTTCCAAGGTTTATTTATCAAGCAAAATCCTTCAGAGTTCAGTTTTACTATAAATAGAACAAGTGAAAGCAAGTTATTACTAGGTTGTGCACAGTCATGGATTAGGAAGGTCAGTCAAGCAGCGGGTATATATAACGCTGTGTGGAGACGACAGACATCAGTACACCTCTCACATCAACACTTCATCATGGTTCTTGCTCTGGTAAGGATCAAGTATAATTTTGTTTTGGTTTTGCAGAGAAAGGAATAATGAAAACGAATTAAAATATATATACGAGCATTATTTTTTTTTCTTCTGGGCTGCATATTGTATTGACAAAAAATCATAATATGTACGATCTGACAATTAATTTTAAAATATTTTATTTCCAGTCGGTTGTTCTGGCGTGTGCCGGAGTTGCTCTTGCTTCACGCCCTACTCCCTATGGCCATCAACCTCCTACATATGGCCACCAGCAATCCTACTGTGACCCCAAAACTCCCCCTACCTGTGCCGCCGGATCCCCTCTAACTTACTGCTTGGAAGACCCCGAATATCCCGAGTATGAGATCAAGGGCGCCATCACTGCTGACCATATCTTCGCCAAGAAGTACGCTGATGTGGCCGACCAGTCAGCTGATGACCTGGTCGATTATGTGACCAAGGAACAGGAAGAGGCCTTCGACTACTATTTCTACACTGGAGCTTCCACTGGGAAATCTCCTTACGATGCCACCCACTGGGGCGGTCCCGAGGGCTACATCTGCCCCTCTGACGTCGCTTACGCCAGGCCCAAACGTGCCCAGAATGTAGAGGGCAAGTGGCGTGTCATTGTCAATGACGTTCACTACTACACACAGACCGCCCGCCTGGAGACTTGTCTCTTCCCTGAAGCTGCTTGCCGCGCCCTTGCTCCCTGCTTCAAGAGTCACTGCACCCAGAAGTACGTCTACCACCGCCTCCTGTCCTTCGACCCCTGTGATCCCTACAAGGGTCTCTTCATCGACATCTACAAGATGCCATCTGCCTGCTCTTGCCACATCCCCGCCTAAGACTCTCCAACAATGAAGAGTCTTACCTGAGCCTTCAGGATAGTCCTGAGGCTCTGTGCCCATGCCAGAACCACCGACACCCTGTAAACCCCGCCCCTACCGCGGAGGAGAAGCCCCGAGATGACTGGAGAACTGCTTTCTTCACGTAACATCAATAATAATGCCAGGGACTCCCGGGACGCTCCTCGCCGCTCCTCTTACTCCTCCTTTTTCCTCTTCTTCCTCTTATTAACAACCATGTGAGTGCCAGATGCGAGAAGTTACTGTACTATTTATTTTCTATTAAATCTAAAAATTAATGTGTGTTTCCACAAACATAGATACCTTTACTGCCGTTTATTAGTAGCGTAACAAGTTTTTTCTCAAAATTTAGGGGAGATGGTCTACTAACCACTCTGGTATGATATCCTCTCTGTGCTGAATAAAATAGTCTGGCATTAACTAAATAATAATTAAAAGTGAGTTCCCCGTAGTGAAAGGGTTAACCTATAAAATAGACTTTAAGACACTCCAGTGAATAGAAAAGATCAATCTACAAGTAAAATTATACTAACAAGAAATTATGAAAAAAGCATTCGGTATTAAGAATGTTTTGTCCATTAAGAACAGTAATCTTCCAGATATCAATAAAATGCATGTTCTTGGCTGTTATCGAGGTCAAATATAAATCTTGGTTTACCAATTGATGCTCATAAATCGGTGAAAAACTCATACCATCAACCACAGGAGCACCCGGAGTGCCCAGCAGATTTCATCACCACACAAATGAACACTTTATTAACATCTTCCATTAAGTCTGACATCTTGCCTACCCAGAACCTATTTTAGTTATGTAATTCCTGCTACTTAAAAAAAATCCACCTATTATAATTTAAGCAAAATATGATGACAAATATTTCCGACTGAGCCTCGTCCAAGGCAAGAGATCACATATCACACGCCAGGACTTTGAGACAAGAGGAGACATTTCCCAAGTCAAAAATCTGCCTGAAGATTATACTTATTCTTGAAATCTTTATAATTTAACTAAGTATATTTTAACTAATAAATAATCTGGACGACATGAAGACCACTAATAATACCTCCTACCACAGAGATACCTATTCCTAGTTTACTTCTCCCGTATATGATACTTGGAGGTCATCTGAGGCACAATCGTATAATTATTTTATTATTTTCGTTTTATTTTATTTGTTTTATTTAACTATGGTAGTGAATAGTGACATCACCCACATGAATCTGATCTATGGATATATATATGTAGGTATGTGTATGTGTATGCGTGTGTATATATATATATATATATATATATATATATATATATATATATATATATATATATATATATATATATATATATATATATATATATATACAGGGTGAGCGTAAAGTCTTTCCCAGATTATGAAAAATCATATCTCGAAGACCATTCTAGATAGAAACATGAATGTTTGTGTAGACGAATTCATATATTTTTTTCATGCATATTTTAAGCTGCAAAAAACTGTATGTTTGCACCTAGCATATGTTTTGTGTAATAAATGTTTGTGTATGAACCTTTGTCCTGCGTGGCAGTGAGAAGTGATACCACCCTCAGTGTCAAGACCTGACTGAATTACTCAGAATAGGCAAACTGTACTCCAAGCTTTGTCAATAAATTTGTTAAACTAAAAAAGCTATGCATTAATCCACAAAACTACATCAGGTACAGTCCCCTTCACTAGTGCGCTTACAGGGGCTCGTCAGGTTTTGTGCAGAGTGGCAGCCCTGTGTTTGTTTACATACGACAGAAGGAAACTGGCAATAGTAAAATACATTGGAATCAAATTAAAACAATATTAAAACAAATATCTCAAAGATAATGATTTGTGGAATGTTCATATGACGAGCTCCTGTAAACGCACTAGTGAAGGGGACTGAACACTGAATCCCAAAATAATGAGCACTTGATACTTCGAAAAGAAAAATACTCTGATACTTCCGTTACTGCACGTAGCTCAATTCCTGGTAATTAAATAAGCCGGGGACAGCTGGATCTTGAAAAATATTAGTTCTTATGCGTTACTTCTTAAAGAAAGTTATGTTTATGCTTTCGAGTGTATTTTGAAACATCAATTTGTATTTCGGTTGTGAAAAACTTAATAGTAAGAAAAACATTAATAAACGAAATAATACATTTGAAAAATATCAATGTTCAGGACCAGATTTCTTAGTAGATGAGGTAACGTGTATTGTACCTTCAGCGTCTTAGTTATAGTCGTCGTGGCTTTCTGTGGCTTTAACAAATACTAACTTTAGTGTCCAAACCATATTCTGATAACTCTTCACCCAATTCATTTAAACCCTGAGTTAGAAATTTTTCATCATGTGTAGAGCAGGTGAGTTGTGATACTACATCTCTTGTTGGTTCCATGAGCCTCTTAGTACAGATCCTGGATAACTCAAAACTCTGAAATTTTCGATATTTTTCGTGTTTAACATAAATGTTCTTTACACAATGAAACGAAGAAATTTAATTCGGGTAATTTAAAATAATTAAAAACTTGTGACTCCAGGACGGACAGCTTAAGGAATCTAAAATAAGATAAAAGTACTACTGTATGTTTAATGTAAATAATCATAGTCTTATAATACACTCAAACACTCTTTGTTGGGTTGCCGAGGTACTAGTAATGTTTCAACAGAAAATCGATGCTTTGGACAATATTATCACAAGAGAAGACCCGATGAGCACTTTGTGTATAATGACTGGCATTCTCGTCTTCTCACTTTACACTTCATAAAACTTTTAGCGAGACAATCTAAAGTAAAACAATACTATGACGCACGGCTAATCAATTTCAAGGAAGGTTAAGCGAAAAAAGAAGAGTTTTTTTTCTGGATTCACATTTGAATAATTAATCACCTCGAAAAGTTATCATATAGGATATTTTATAAAAGAAAAACAGTGACAGCTTTGTGAGTATTACATTTGGCGGATGCAATTGACTCTCCTCGGGGAAGTGTATACGAAGGATGACTAACAGTACCAACGTCTGGATAAACAACTACATTTGTGTGGTCACGTTTCGACAAATTTCTTATCATCATAATATGTTTTAGGTTCTGCTGTTTATCAATACGTTGATGCTGTCATTCATCCGTCCTATTACACATGTACGCGTACATAAACTCCGTACAAACAGGATAATGGGGTAAACAAATCTACTCCAGGGCCTCGACACCTCAGTCTAAGTTTAGCACCACTCAGTTACACAACTATCTTGTAACTTTCTAATTGAAGCCTGAATCAACTTGCAACTCGTACCGGAGAAAGTATGTCTCATCCAACTAAATATTTGGATAAAGACCTTTTATTGTGTTTCCTCTATTTAACGCACCTATGTCATATCCACTATGAATTGAAGTCCAAAGTCGTGATAAACCCGAGCTGGTTGCCATAATGCACCGGACTGGTGAGGAAAAACCTTCGGATCTTTCACACCTTCAAGCAGAAAAAAGTCCAAAACCTTCTTATCTCAGGCTAAGGTCAAGATAATTTTCATGGTGGCGAGGGGCCACACATCTAAGGGTCTTCAGTTAATCGGGACACATTGAGGAACACATTCACTCTTCCTGGTTGTGGTATCTGTGGATTGGGGACTATAGTGAAGTGTTCTGAGATGAACCTCTTAGGCCATGAGAGGTCAGGCACAATGTTTGAAGAGAGTTATTTACTACTCCATTTGATAAGGTTGATTCCAAATTATCCATGCCAACACTTCCCCCTTCCACATACCTACACAAAAAACACACATAAGCCCCACAAATATACATAGAATGTGTGCATAAACTGGTATATCACAGGACTACTAATAATGTTGTTTACTGATTACTTACAGGAGAGTCTGACTTAATCACATACAGAATAGTTAAGTTCTAGTTTTCTTCACTTTTCAGTCCACTCTCAGCAAGAATTAGGAACCTATAACATAGCTTGTAAAGGTCCATATATTTCAGACCTCAAAATTATTGACAAAGATATGTGATGTTCTATAAAAAAAAAAAAAATCTTAAGTTTTTCCTTAAACAGACGACGTGAATGTTTCTAAGTTATTGATGGTTTGTGCAGCGTCATGGAGGAGGAAGGTAACAGCAGCAGCGGGTATATATAACGCTGTGTGGAGGTGACAGACATCAGTGCACCTCTCGCATCAACACTTCACCATGGTTCTTGCTCTGGTAAGGATTCAGTATCTGAATTACTGGTGCCTTGCCTGTTTAAGAACACTGATAATATTCTAATATTTTCAAGTGTTACACATATGTTCTGGGCTGTCTTTGCAATTGACAGGATTATGTAGCATGGAAATCTTGAGACCTATCTAAAACATATAGATATATAATATTTTATTTTCAGTCGGTTGTTCTGGCGTGTGCCGGAGTTGCTCTTGCTTCACGCCCTGCTCCCTATGGCCATCAACCTCCTACGTATGGCCACCAGCCATCCTACTGTGACCCCAAAACTCCCCCTACCTGTGCCGCCGGATCCCCTCTAACTTACTGCTTGGAAGACCCCGAATATCCCGAGTATGAGATCAAGGGCGCCATCACTGCTGACCATATCTTCGCCAAGAAGTACGCTGATGTGGCCGACCAGTCAGCAGATGACCTGGTCGATTATGTGACCAAGCAACAGGAAGAGGCCTTCGACTACTATTTCTACACTGGAGCTTCCACTGGGAAATCTCCTTACGATGCCACCCACTGGGGCGGTCCCGAGGGCTACATCTGCCCCTCTGACGTCGCCTACGCCAGGCCCAAACGTGCCCAGAATGTAGAGGGCAAGTGGCGTGTTATTGTTAACGATGTTCACTACTACACCCAGACCGCCCGCCTGGAGACTTGTCTCTTCCCTGAAGCTGCTTGCCGCGCCCTTGCTCCCTGCTTCAAGAGTCACTGCACCCAGAAGTACGTCTACCACCGCCTCCTGTCCTTCGACCCCTGTGATCCCTACAAGGGTCTCTTCATCGACATCTACAAGATGCCATCTGCCTGCTCTTGCCACATCCCCGCCTAAGACTCTCCAACAATGAGCATTGAGCAGTCTTACTAGAGCCTTCAGGATAGTCCTGAGGCTCTGTGCCCATGCCAGAACCACCGTCACCCTGTAAACCCCGCCCCTGCCGCGGAGGAGAAGCCCCGAGATGACTGGAGAACTGCTTTCTTCATGTACCATCAATAATAATGCCAGGGACTCCCGGGACGCTCCTCGCCGCTCCTCTTACTCCTCCTTTTTCCTCTTCTTCCTCTTATTGAC